TATTGATGTGTTGTGAGAGGCTATTTTTTATTATTTAGGTCTGGGTGTTCTAAACATTCACTAAATGGATTCAAAAAAATACTTGTGCTAATATCAACAATATTGCCTTGAATAGAAAAATTAATTGACTCATTTTTTACAGACATCAGTGTACATATTTTTTAGTAACTTAAAAACTGTGCTGACCCAAGGCTAATGTGAACTGGAAGTTTTATATCTAATGTCTTTCTAGAATTAAAATCTGTGGTCACGCAGAACTATTATTTGAAAAAAATATTTTTTCAAACCATAACTTATTAAAACCTCGTTAATTCCAGCAAGAAACACTTAATGTTGCTCCTTCACTATTATGAGGTATATTACCAGCTGCTTTTATGCAAGCTATATTAGTAATGGTTTCTTTGTTACCACTTGTTTGACTCGGAATGTATTTTAATCCTTTTCCTTGCAACAACACATTTTGGTTTATGATCTAGTTGTAACCCTGTTTCATCCATGTTCCAAATATATTTGGTTTGTTAAATAGGTTCTTATTTTGAAAATTTTCCCCTGTCTATACACATTTGTGGTAAATAATATTTTGGTTCTGGACAACGAAGACTTACACAACCATGCCTCCTTTTAAGTAGTTGCTACCAGTTTTCAAGATTTTTAAAATTCAATCTATTTTTTTTTTGCCAGCTTAGCAGCATAATCAATAAATGTTATTTTCAAAAACCAATTCCCATTTGGGCTTATATGCCAGCAAAATATTTTTTTTAAGATCACCTTTAATTGGCTTTTTCCCTGGTTATGCTCTTATTTTAGATTTTCTATAGATAGTAGCCTGCATAGTTGAACATGGAACTTTTTTATACTTGCTTTTTGGTGAGACATATCATTTATTACCAGTTTCATATTAGAATCTGAATTGTCTTTAGCATGCATTTTTTTTATTGTACTTGAAGTTGGTTTAATGATAACATTTGACTTTTGGAATTTTCAGTATGCTTTAACTTTTTTGTTTTTCGTATTTAATACTACTTTCAACTAAAAAAAAATTGTATTAATAAAAACAAGTTTAAAAACACATGTAAATAAAATAAATCAAAAAATATATATTGATTACTTTTTTTTTTACCTTTAATGCAACATTCGAACTTTCATTTAGTATGTATAATCAAGTTAATTTAAGTAAAATTTGGATGTTGCTTACCAGTTAACAACCTTAATTTAACTTTTCTCACAAATGTCATGAGTCAAGGTTTTATCACACTTAGTTATTTATTATGTCACATGAATTATATATAAGTTAAGAAAATCTTGTTTTAAAGTATTAGAAAAAAAAATTAAAAAATATTTTAATTAAATACTTTAATTTCAATTGTTGTCTAATCGATACTATTTATTAGCTATAGCCAGTAAGTGGATTATGTAACCGTCCAGTAAATGGTATATTAGGAAAGGTTTAGATTAGATCGGTTAAAACATGTGAGTTAATGTGAGGCATTACTTTGGTTTCAAAACATGGCGAATAACACTTATTACGTTTACGACGCTTACGAACTTCTGTAAACAACTATTTTTTATAGCTTTTCACATAATTTAAAAGTAAAACTTTCGCATGATTAGTATAAATTAAGTGCGGACTTTGATCGTATTTCTGAGAGATACTTTCTTGCGCTGACCCGAAATAATTGTTTAAAAAATGAACTATTAGAAAAAACAGAACACGTAATGGTGGAGGACTTATTAACTATATTAAGAAATCAATCAAATTTAAAAAAATTGAAAAATTTGATGACAAGTATCGTATGTTGAACATTGAATTTATAATATTAGAACTGATCATGTCAAAAGGCTTAAGACCTATTGTTTTGTTAAGTGTCTATCGAGTTCCTCAAGCAAAAAATAAATGGTGGCTAAATTTTAATGAACTAATTAAAGAAAACTCCCACAATAACTATTTAATTGTAATGGGTGATCTTAATGCAGATCTCATTAAAGCAAGTGTAAATCCAGGTAAATCACTATTATGTTCACTTAACTTGGCTGGAGTTAGGATTCAGAATACTAAACCCACTAGAATATCAAATAGTTGCTCCACGTGCCTTGATATAATTGCCATAGATCATAGTATGCCTTAAGTATAAAGTAAGTTAAAACTTTACCAGTAATCATTATCCTGTATCAGCATTAATAAAAACAGATTCAATTATAAACAAACTGAAACCTGTATCTAAAAGATTGTTTAAAAACGTAAACTTTGAAGACCTCAATAAGAGAATTGAATTAATTAAACTTGAGCCATTAATGACAACAAACGAACTAGTAAATACTTGGTATAATGCAATTAGAATAATAATTGATGAATTTGCGCCTGTTAAAAATTTTCCATGACGAACAACTAGACCTCAATGGATTGACAAAAAAATAAAAGTTATGATAAAAAGAAGAGATTATTCAGCAAAAAAAAGGGGAAAACATATAGAGTTTACAGATGAAAAAGAAAAAGAACGTAAGGATATTAAAAAACAGATCAAAAGCCTTATAAGAAAGTTTGAAATAGAAAAAGAAACAGAAGCATTCCAAAGCAAAAACCCCAAAGATGACTACAAATTGTCACTGAAAAATTAATCAAAGCGTATGGAGATACAAATAAATTCAGTGTTGATTATGGTTTCACTATTAACCTCAGTAAAACGCAACTGATAGTGTTCAAATCACCGAGAAAAAGACTTCCTGATAACCTACACATTAAAATTGAAAATACTGAAGTTCAACCAGTAACTCATGTTAAGTTATTAGGAGTCACTATAGATCAACATCTTCAATTCAAAGAACAAATCGATACAACCGTTAAAAAATGCCACTCTAGAATGGGATTATTAGCAAAAGCATCTGTCAGGCTTCAGAGGGAACTTTTAAATATAGCCTATAAAGGACTTATACGGAGTCAATTAGAAAATGCCAGTATATTATACCTAGGTCAATCCAAAGCGCAACTAAAGAGACTTGACATAATACAAAAGCAGTGTGCCTGTATCATCTGTCATAAACCAAGAAACACTCATTCGGCTCCCCTTTTGGACGAGCTAAAGATGTGCACCTTGGGGGAAAGAAGAAATGTTCATGCAACAAGAGTAGTGAAGTCGGCATTGTCGGTAGTATGTCATCCATCAATAGCTAAAAAGTTTAAATACAACGGTGACTTGAACCTTATCATTAAAAAAACGGCAAACCGACAAGGTAGTAAAGGCTCCGATATTATAAAGGCCAACATATTTAACGGAGTTGTCTATTAATATATCTATCGCGTAATGCCATTGGCATATACTACTCAAGCAGTGGAAGAGGAACCGGAAATAAAAAGTTTACTGATTTTATATAAATTATAAAGATATTGTATTTTTAAAGGCAAAGTTGTTCAACTGTAATTGAGTTTAAATAATAATAAATAATAATAATAATAACTCTCAAGTAGAAGATGCTCTGATAGGTATACAAAATTATTCAACTAAAATACCAGTTGTTTTAGAAATAAATAGAAATTTAAATATTTCACCTAATTTTAAATCTGCAGATAAAACTTTAACTTGGTATAAAAGTTTAAAATACTTGCCACTATTCACTATTAAAGAAATAGAAAACTACAGAAAAAAAAAGCTAAAAACAAAAGTATTGCAATAAAAAAAACATTTGAAAGAGGTAAAAGATTTAAATCTGAACGATATATATCATCAGATAGTATTTACACTTTGTGTAACCTAACGTGTATCATAGTAAAAGCAAAATGCAAAGCAAGCATGAAAAATGAAGTTCGTGATTTAAAAGTTTATATTAGCAGATTGACTAGCTCTGTAAGAAAAGCATATTGCTCATGCCCTGCTGGAAATAGTAGTTATTTTATTCACGCGATAGCTTTGTTATTTGAATTTGCAGAATATTCTTTAAATTTACTTGAGTATGTACCTGAAGAGATTGCTTGTACAAGTAAATCAAGGCAATGGGGCATTCCAGGTCATAAAACTAAAACAATTAAAAATCCAGTTATGTTTAAAAATTTTCAAAAATTTGAATTTAAGCGTGGCATTAAGGCTACTTTATATGATCCAAGACGAATAAAGTGTAAAGAAGAAACTTTAAAAGGAAATATTTGCAATCTAAAATCAAATGTTGCTTTTTTCAATAAAGAAAAAAGCAACATTTGATTTTAGATTGGCTTTTATAATAAAAATCATTGCTATATACCTCGCAATTGGAAGCTTAATGAGAAACAAAACAATTTTATGTTATCAATAAAAGTATCTTCTGAACAAAGCAGAAATTATGAGGCTGATACAGTTACACTAAATAAAAATCATCTGTGGTTTAATCTAAGAAAATATCACTTAACTTCAAGTACTTCTCATAAAACTTATATACGTAAAAGACAATTTGAAACTCTTGCTCATCAGTTAATTAATAACACTTAAAAATTGATTTGCCTAAATTTATTCAAGAGTCTTTAGACCACGGGCTCGCTTATGAGCCACATGCACGAGAGAAATATATTGAAATTTTGAAAAATAGATTAAATCACAATATTTCAGTTAGGACAACTGGAAATGTAATACAACCTAACTTATTTTGGTTATCTGCAAGTCCGGATGGTGTTGTATATGATGAAGAGGCTAAATATTATTATGGTTTAATTGAAATTAAATGTCCTAGAATGAAAAAGCACTTATCTATTTCCGAATGTTTGAATGATAATGATTTTTATATTGGATTAGACAATGAACACCCATATTTTAAAAAAGATCATTATACTGGTTATTATACACAAATACAAATGGCAATGGGGTTTTGTAATTCCCAGTTTTGTGACTTTGCTGTGTACACATATAAAGGAATTGCTATTATAAGAACACCTTTTGACAATCAGTTCTTTTTTAAATTAATTACTACGTTAAATAATTTTTACGTTAACTATTTTTTACCACAAGTATTGGACAATAATGTATATAGCAAAGAAAGCATTATACCCTCTATATGTAAATAAATGTTTTTACTTTTGATTTGATTTTTTAATAAGTGGTGGCAAAAAGTTACATAAAAGACAAGTTACTGTCCATAGTTGGTTAATTGAACCGTGAAACACCAAAGAAATTTCATTACTTATTTGGCGAAATACTTTAATTCTACGAATAGCACGTTCTACGTGAATTCTCAATGATGCAATGGTTTGACTTTCTGTAGCATCTTCTTTACTTAGCTGTAGTTGTCCATTTAAAAAAGATGGTATATTTAATTTAACATTGATTGTGTTTAAATGGTCTGAAATGGTAAACCCACAATCAGCCATAACTGAATCATTTTTGTTCCATAGTTCTTTATTAAGGAAACCTGATCTTACAACAATTTCTTTGTCAGAAATAGATCCATCATAAAGTTGACTTATAAAAGTTATTGTTCCTGAAGGAGAAATACCTAACAATCCTTTGTAAGTTACATGATGTTTATAAATAGAATATAAAGAACTCTGGTGTCTCAGTGATGAAGGTTTCTGACAAAACAGTTCAGTACAATCAATAATGCATCTTGTCGATGGAAATGTCATCTTAAAGCTTTCTGGCATAAACTTATTAACTTGTTTGCGTGAAGGCCAAATCGGTACACTTCCCAAAGAAAAATATAGATAGTTTGTCCATGTTATTAAATAACAAGATGTTGTTGATTTTGAAATTTTAAATAACCAAGATGTGTGCAAATTTGTAAATCCATTTTTTAGCCACACTAAAAACATAAATAACTGATTTTCTGTGTTTAATTTTGTTTTTGGACCAGTTTTTGCCTGATTACCTAACCTGTGCATATTTTCAGATAATGCTGAATTGTGGTATTTAATATTTTCACCATTTTTTCCTGGATTTAAAAAGTTGTACAAATTTATATTCTGTTCATGTTCTATGCCAGTATATTTTTGGAACAGTTCTTTGTCTGTTGACATATTTTCATAACTTTGTATGTATTTATTTTTATATTGATTCAGTTGAATTTTAATTTTTTTATTTTTAGATTCTAAAATGTTTATTTGAGATTTCAACTCGTGTTTTTCTTTTTCCAGTAGATCAATTTTTTGTTTTGTAGTTCAACACAAAATATGCAACCTTTCTCAATTTCAAAATCAATTAATAGTTCTTTATCCTTTTTTTTTAAATTATTGTCTTTATTTCTAGAAACGTTTTCAATATCAAAGTTTTCGATAAATTTTCTTTTTTTAGGCGAACATCGTTTTTGTACATCAACTTGTTTTTTAAATTCAAAAATAGATGGAAATGCTTCTTTTTTTAAAGTTTTTCTGCCAATATTGAATAAAAATTGAATGTCTTCATTTTTAAAATGAAGCTCGCATACTAGAGTCGTGTCCTTAATAACGAAATTATCATTACCACCTTTTCTTCTAAATTGAGAAATAATTTTTGCCCACTTATTTCGACGAGCAGTATTCTTGGGTAATTTAAAAAATCCAATTCCTAACTTTTTTTTTTGAAAATCGTAAAATGAACTTTTGCATTGTGGAATACAGCAATAAGCTCCACTTCCTCCTCCTTTAGTTAATGTAGAACAGGCAAAATCATTCATGTTATTTGAAATAATAAAAACTACAATTTTCTAATGTTTACGCTTTATCATTGCCTGATGTCATTACATCATTACGTCATTGGAATGCGGGATACGTCTATTCTTTTAATTTAATTTGCGTAACTGAAACGTAACTAACGAGGATTTTGAGAATAATTCAAACCTCCAACTCCCAGGTTTTAATGGAATTACCGTAGAGCGAAATATAAATAAGCGTAGAGGAGGAGTACTTTTTTAGTCTTTTGTATAATGTTAGACGCGATATGAGTGTTTCAGATGAAAATAAAGAGATTTTAACTATTGAAATTATTATCAAAAAATCAAAAAACCTGCTTATAAGCTGTTGTTATAGGCCTCCAACTGGAAGAACTGAAGACCTCAGCAGTTTTTTACAAAAGAAAATTCTAAAACAAAAATATTCTCGAAAATAAAAAAAATCACTTTATTGGCGATTTTAATTTAGATTATTTTGATTATTACGAAAATCAAAACACTAGAAAATTTTACAACAATATATTTGAAACAAGAACAATACCAATAATAAATCGACCAACAAGATATACAAAATATTTATCTACTTTAATTGACAATATCTTAACCGCTGACTTTTTTAATATATCGCTTAAAAAAGGAATAATTAAAACAGATGTATCTGATCATTTTTCTATATTTTTTTCAATAAATCTAGACTTTAAAAAAGAAATGCAAAAATGTGTCACCATAAAAAAGAGGTTGTTCAACAACATTAATTTAAGCTCCTTCAAAGAACATTTGTTGCTAATAAATTAGAAAATTTAAACTTTAATAATAATATAAACACAATTTACAACACTTTTTTTAAAACATGTTATATAGTCTATGATACAAATTTTCCTATGTGTGAAACAGTTGTAAAAACAAAAGACATATCATGTCCCTGGATTACAAAAGGTCTTAAAAAATCCTCGAAAATAAAACAAAAGCTATATATCAAACATTTAAAATCAAAATCAGTAAAACATAAAAATAACTATATCACCTATAAAACCTTATTTAAAAAATTTTGCAAAAATGCAAAAAAAAAATACTACTCCTACTTGATCAATAAACATAAAAATAATTCGAAACAAATCTGGAAAATAATGAAAGAAAATACAGGAAAACTTAAAACAAATACAAATTCTCTGCTACATGAAATAAAAATTGACAACAAACTAGTTAACGACTCAAACTATATTGCAGCTGAATTTAACAAATTTTTTACATCAATTGGAACTAAACTAGCAAATAGTATTCCGTATATCGACGATAAATCAGCTGAATTCCAAACATCAACTTTATCAAGTTTTCACTTTACTGAGCTAACTTATGATGAATTTTAAATTGCCTTTAGCTCGTTAAAAAGAAATAAAACAACTGGGTATAATAATATTAATGTGAACATTATAATAGACTTTTGTGATTTTATAAAACACATTATTTTTAAAATCTTTAGAGCATCCATCAGTCAAGGAATGTTTCCAAATTGTCTAAAAATAGCTAAAGTATTTCCTGTCTACAAGACAGGAGATCATACAAACATAAATAATTATCGCCCTATTATAGTTCTTTCAGTCTTTTCAAAATTACTTGAAAAAGTAATGTTCAATCAAATTTAAGACCATCTATAAAAAATTATTAAAATAATTGAAAAAAGAAAAAGAAAAAGAAATGATTAAAATATAGTAATAAAAATGACAAAAGTTTTCTGTTTTTGGTTATAAATGGGATGTGATTCGATATATATATTTGTATATATTTTTTTTTTTCAAAATAATTCAATATTCAAATAAAAATTTTGTTCAAATATTATAAAATATACCAAGAAAATTGTAGGTAACTTTAAGAGAACATATATTTTCAATGAAAGTATGATAAAGATATTGAAATTCTTAGTATTGTTAAATGGTCTAGATTTTTAAATTTATGGTGCTAACTTAGTTTAATAAATTTTAAAACTTTAAAAGTGACATAGAAGATCTGCTATATTAAAATCCGTAAGTACTAAATAACGTCTTAATTTAGATTTGAATTGCGGAAATGTTTTTTCTTTAGTATTAACAATATGCTGAAAGTTTTTCCCCAAAATTTGACCCCGGTACTAAATAGAATAAGAACATAACTTTAGATTATACTTTTGAGTTACAAAGTTATTTTCTGAGAACTTGGTGGGGTATTTATGGCTTACTTCTCTAAAATAAGGATAGAATATCGCTGGAGACAGTCCATGTTTTATTTGATACATGAACTGTATGACGAGGAATATGTTAATTTTAAACACATTTAATGCATTGAGTTTACGTAAAAGTGGCTCACAAAGCACAGTTCTTTTTACTCCAAATACAATTCTACATGCATGTTTTTGATTAGTATAAATTTTTTTTAACTTAGCGCAGCATTGCTTGCCCATACGATATTGCCGTAAGTTAGATAGCTATGTATGAAGGCAAAAATATAAACTTTTTAGAGATCTTATATCCAAAAATGGTTTTGCTTTATACATCATTGGAATGTTTATTGAAAGTTTTCTTTCAAGAGTGTTTATATGTTTCCAACATGTTAAATTTTCGTCTAAAATAATACCTAAAAAGTTTACAGTTGTTTGCCTAGTAATATTTATATTATTGATTTTAAGATTGGGTAATTTTAAAGGAAGGTTTCCTGTTTTGGTTGGTTTGTGAAATAGAATAAACTTAGTTTTGTTAACGTTAAGTGAAAGTTTATTACAAATAAACCATTCATTTACTTTGTTTACTTCTTCATTAACTACTTTAAAGAGGGTTTCAATATCCCTATGAGAATAAAACAGATTGTAGTCATTAGCAAGCAAAATAAAGTGTTCGAGGTAAAAGATAGATCATATATATAAAGAGAAAACAGTCACGGTCCTAAGATTGAGCCTTGAGGAACTCCACATTTTATTATACTTTTTGTCGTTTTAAAATTTTCATATTGAATGTATTGCTCTCTATTTAATAAGTTTATTAATTCCAGTCCAGTTTGATAAGTTTATTAATTCCAGAACATCACTGTCACAGTACAAATTAACAATATAATTCATCTGAAACAAAACATTGTAAAATATAACATAAAAATTGTACATTTATTATTTAGAAAATACGCAGGTATTGAAGTTAAAATAGTACAAAGACTTTAAATGAAAACATAGATCTTCTGCTAAATAACATAGACATAAACTCAACAAATTTTTTACCACATTCAGATGCAATAACGTGATGGGCGAAAAATTAATTAAGAACCAAAACATACAAGTCAAAGTGCTACGTAATAAAATGGTCATAATACCATCTAGATTAAAAAATAGCTGTAATTTTACTAACTCACTGCTGCTATCTTTATTTTTTTAATTTAATTATAAATTATGATGGTCCATGCAATACAATAAAATGTCTTTATATGACAAAAAAAATTTTTATCCAATTTTTTTTACCTAATTTATACACTGTTTGTAGATCCCTGACTATTTTGACTGAAATTATCTTAGTAATCACAAGACGTGTTTAATATGTATAAAAAAACAGGCTATGTTTTAATGTGTATCTTTTTAAAATGTCTACAATATCTTTTTGATATAACTACAAAATGTCTTGTGATTAATGCAATAAACATCGCTTTTATTGGCTTATTGTTAGGTATCAAAAATATACACTTTTTAAAAACAAAAATCTAGTCAGCCTATATATTTACACATACATGCATACATACATTTTTTTTCACTGAAATTGTTAAAACTTTGTCAAATCTTATCCAAATGCCTATATCTTGGTATCAAAAAATAGATGTAAGAGTAGGCTACATCTTCATATAACTCTATAGATAAAAGGGGTCTCTAGAGAGCCGTAGGGGGTACGGAACTACCTCGTAACCTTAAAAAAATACAGGTTTTTCACACGAAAGAGTGTTTTTCTGATAAAATACCTCATCTTTATACATAAA